CAACAAACTGAAAGCGCAACAAAACTAGAAGTGGCTAATTGAGGCAAAAAGATCTTGGTGCCCCTAAATTGAAGGGGATGCTCTCTGTCAGGGAATTGAACCCTGGTCTCCTCCGAGCTATCGAAAATGACAGGGAGGGATACTAGCCACTATACTAACAGAGATGGTGGTAATATCATTCGTTCGTTTTTTGCTCAAGAAAGCTGCTCGAGACTTGAGCCTCGAATCTCCAAAAAAGCCACGTTTGTTTTTGCGCAGCAACGCGTGGAAGCTGGATTGCCCGCATACTCTGCTACTATACTAACAGAAACTGACAGGGAACAGGTGAAACAGGTTAGGCGCGCAGTCTCTTATGTAAGCAGTTTGCGCAGCATTAAGAAGTGATAAATTTGTGGTTACGAAGGATATGACACGCGGATTGTAGAAGCCAAGGGACCGAGTGCGAGGAAATGTGCACCAGAATGGGGGGAGGAAAGTCAAGTGTTGAGTCGGAAAGCGAGGAGCGGTCAGCGTTCATCGACTCTGGCGGATGATGGGCGGAACCAATGAATAGGCTAACTTACAGGACTGTCAGCCTGAAGATAGTAATCCCTTCTTCATATTCCTCGAGCATCTGCTGCTCGGCAGCGCTGTCGTGACCCGTTTAGATTTACTGCGGAAGAGAAGAGACGAAGGACATTTGTTTTGGACATACGCGTAAGGTGTCCAGTCGCTGAATAATGAGTGTAAAGACGTGGCTGGCTTGGGAGCTCGACGGGAGCCAAAGCATGGAAAGTAGCACATCAATTCCGCACGCGCGCGAAAGTTGCGAGTTCGACGTTCTCTCTGTAGGGAAGTTCGATAGGGGCCGTCTGCTTGTGCCCCGCTACCTGGCTTTTAACCGATTGCATTCCTTGGTCGGTGACTTGCTTCGTGGGATATGTGTCGTATGAAGAGTTAGACCTCGAGCATGCAATTCCGCGAGAGGGTACTGTGTTCAGTCTCTTGCAAAAACCGTGATGTCCGGTTGCTATTTTCGGCACCCTCCCCATAGCTGGTGTGGCCACCCCCAGTCGAGATTGGACCGTCTTCCTTCCTCTACAACCAGCCGTCGTCGACTTGGACGTATACTTATCCTGCATCTTCAAGTCTCTTTACCTAGACCGCGGCGGTTCAGGCGTCCTCGTGTGAGCCATGTCGGCAACATCAACAACCGCACCCTCGCCTCGTTCCGGCACCCCTACGACGGAGGAAGACAAGGGACCAGCGCTCGTCCTACGAATCTCTCTCCCTTCCCAGGAACGCATCACAGCTATCAAGGCATTTTCTCGTGAAACACTTTGGGCCATCAAGCACCGCATCATGGGAAAGATGGCAAGTGGCATCGAGGACGCTATCAACTATGGACTTTACCTGCCTACCGCTGGACGATTCCTCGATGAAAAGAGTCCGTTGGGGTCCTACGTTACTGAGAACAGTGTGAGTTGTAATCGTCTGTAAACATTCGAGCGGTCCTGTATCTGGTCGTGGCTCTGACGGACGGGTTGCTGCAGGTGCTTCTGGAGTTTATTCCGAAATACAGAGTGCTCACGACCGCTACGTCGGGTGAACCCGATCTTTCTGGTGGATCACCCTCTCTCAACAGCAAGAAGAAGCAGAAAAAGTTTGCGGAGGACGTCGTGAAGGGCCACGTTGACAAAGTCCGCGAACGAGGAATGAAGGGCATAGACCCGAACTTTTACACAGAGAGCGGAGGTTTGTATAGTGCAAGCCTCCTTCCTTCTGTAAGTCCGATTCTGACAGAGTAACTCACTTCAGACACACCGCTGGTCGTCGCTGTCTTGAACAATGATCGAGACATGGTCGCGACGCTTATCGAGCAGGGGGCGCTACTGGACTATCGACTTGGCAAGAAGGATGGCTGGAAGACGCCATTGCATGTCGCAGCGCTACACAATAAGCTGCTTCCTCTGCAGGTTAGGAAAAAGCTCTGTCGAACGGCTCTAGTGGAACGCACATATGGACTGACGGAGCTCTCCTTCGTGTTCCTTTTCACAGCTGATGCTATCTGCAGGCGCCTGGGTGGACTGTCCAGACGGCAACAATCTCCCAGCTCTGTTCTACGCAACACAGAACTCGCATCCAGAAGCGGTGTTACGTCTTCTCCTGGCGCGAGCAACCACGGAGACGACCGACGAATCTGGTCGTGCGCCGCTTCACGTCGCCTGTTACAACAACCACGAAGCCATCGCCTCCCTCCTAATCGACGCAGGATGCTCCATGAACGCGGTCAACGCGGTCGGAAACACACCGCTTCACGTGGCAGCCACTCGGAACGCCAAGGAGTGCGCGAAGTGGTTGGTGTTAAGAGGCTGCGATCGGGAACGAACAAACCTCAGCGGTCAGACGGCGGCCCAGCTCGCCACCTTGAGCGGCAACGTCGAGATCGCGGACATGATCAAAAAGTTCAACGATGGCATGGTGGTACCCCCACCGCCTCCCCTCCCGAACGGTGGACCTGTAGAGGATCTGGCGGCGTTCAGGAACCCGGCGCCTCATTCGAGGGCTGCATCCACGGATCCGTCGGCTGCTGTCGGACCCGATATGAGAAGAGTATCTATCCTGGCTCCTGGGACGGAGCATCCTCAGATCACGAGATCCTTCTCGGTCCAGTCCGTGTCGAGCATGACGGCCAAAAGGGAGCCGTCGACGACGTCGGCATCTCCTTCGAGGAAGAGAACTGCAGCACGAGGTGGAGCTGTGGGAGGGGGGAACGGTAAAGCGAGAAAATCCGTCACGTCGGAAAAGTTCGTGCCGCCGCCGCCATCCACACCGAAACCCGTCGGATTGGTGGCTCGGACAGGCAGCGTTGCATCCATCCCTCCATCCTCGCTGCCGGGGGCGGTGTCGCAGCCGCTACCAGCTTCGGAAGGGAAAGCGGCCCCTACGGTGGCAGCGGTAGTCGCAGCAACAGTCTCACCCGTGGTTCGGACAGCGGTGCCCCATGTTGTCGCCGCCCAGCAACCAGGGCAACCATCCCAACAGCAGCATCAGCCGTCTCCGAAACCCATCCTGGCTGGCATCCTCCCCCCACCTCCATCCATCCAACCTCCGGCTCACCTGACAGCCGCCAGACCGTCCATCCCCTCACCGCTCCAGTTCGTGGCTCCTCCTCCTCCTCGGGCAGCTCCCCCTCCCAGCACCGCCACGAAGAAAGGAGGTGCAGGAGCAGCGTCAACGCTCCTCTCCCCGATCCCAGGATCCGCGCCGGGTACTCCCTCTCAAGCGAACGGAACCGGAAACACCCTGCTGTCGACCCACCACGCCCGTCTTCCCCCACCCATCTCCGTCGCGACCGGAAAGTCAAACTCCTACAACCACCATCGCACCGCCGACAACGAGAATGCGCCCCTGTCGCCCAGCGACGGACCTTACCTACCTCGATCCCCGACAAAGGCCCAGACGCACCACATTCTCTCCATGCTGCGGGGAGCTCTCCACGGCGAGGAGGACCTCGAGGTGGATCTCGAGGTCCTCTTGGACGGGTTCGGTGCCATGGAGAAGGCTTTGGACGAGAGCGAGGAGAGGTGCAGAGAACTGGAGAAGCTCGTCAGCGAGTTAAATCAGGAACGGTTCAGATCTGTGTCCAGCGGTTGACGATAGATGCACAGAGGGAGAGGCGGAAGGGTTGGTCCGAACGTGTCGAAGAACCTTTCCGGTGGACGGTTTCTTGCGGGGGGCACAAGATGGAAGTGACAGAAATCAGAACAATTGAAACCATAAACATAGATGTCTCTTTGGATGAGGTAGCGACCACTTTCCCCTGCTCTCGAACCAACACAAAGGACCGGTCAAATCCCTGTATCAGTATGAGACGAAGGTAGGAGCAAAACAACAATCATATTAAGCCTTCGGATGTTTTCCGAAAGAGAATGCCGAATGTGGGGCGTGGAAGGAGAATTTGGATGTAGTGCTACGGCGCTTGGTGAAGGTTGGTGGGAAGGCGAACCCTCTGATCTCGAGCGTGTATCCCAGCCTCTCGCAGTCCGCCCTGCTGGGCCGTTTGATGGAAAAGATGTCGGTGACGTTGGTGAACCTCGGAACAGAGCGGCTACGTGCCGTGGACGGTGGTGTGACTCCAAAGTTTCCAGCAGGCGACGCGGACGTTGGAGGGAAGGCGGCAAAGGTGGGCTTCCCTGTAGTTGAGCCTGCGTTAACGCTGATACCTTTCGGCGGCGAGCCCAAGCTGAAAGCTGTCGCTGGTGCCACAAATGCGAAGGCATTGGGTGCCGCTGTGCCGGCCGGCGGCGATTTGCTGAAGGTAATCTTTCCCGAAACTGTTCCTGGATTGGCTGCGCTGGTCTGCAGCGTGGAACCGGCGATGAATGGATTGGGAGAGGTTGATCCAATACTAAATGCGCTAGGAGGCGCTGGGCCAAAGCTGAATGCACTCGCAGGCGCTGGTTTGAAGCTGGTTGTGCTGGAAGGTGCAGGTCCAAAACTGAACTGTGCGGGAACGGTTGTTTTGGGGGCCGGACTGTTGAATGTGAAGGTAGCTGCCGCAGGTGGAGCCAAGCGGGACAAGATAGAGGGCTTGGGCGCAGCTGGAGTCGGAGTCTCAAAGCCGAAGAACCCAACCGCGGGTTGCGTGGGAGTGGCTCCCGCGACAGTCGCGGTGCCTGGTGCCCCGAAGTTGAATACAGGTGGCGGCATGGAGAGGTCCATGGACGTAGAGTCCGTCCGACGCGAGGCAGGAGTGGCTCCGGAAATCGGAGATCCTTCCCGCTGTCGCTTGCGTACGGATGATGGTGCAGTGTCTGTAGACGGGGGTGCTTTGTACCGCTCTTCGATGACGCGCACTGTCTCGAGAATCTTTTCTTTGGCCACTGCAGCGTTAGGCTTGACCGGAAAGGCTTTCGCGCGCGGTGCTGGAAAGTTGAAGAGTGGTTTTGGCTAGAGCGAGAAGATTGGGTTTGAGTGATCTGACGGATGTTCGGGAAGGTGGTTGTAATGTGACTCACAGGTGCGACGATGCTCTCGGTGATAAGGTCTAGGACATTGCGGGTAGATTGATTGAGCAATGTAGTGCGCGGTTTCTTTGCCAAAGGTTCACGGGCAGATGACGCGCCGAGCCGCGGGGAGGAAGGCGTACTTCGTAAATTAGTCTTTGGTCGGGGTCGGAATG